TAGGCATTTATCTGACCTGCAAATTTATAGCCTACTGAAAAGAGATATAAACTAGGAATTAAATGTCTCCCTGCATCCTAGGATTATTCAGCAGTGCTTACATATAGTTCACTGTAGAACAAGTCTCCTATAAGAGTGAAATGAAATAATTCAATTCTTTAAAATATCATTTAATATCTTAATAATATAAAAATATGATTAAGTAGAGATGTAGAATGTTTTCATGTAAAACATCAAGTGCACATCAGAGAGAAATAGAAATGCTTTGGAATTCCTACTTCCAGACATTTATATTGTGGTTTAGAATGTGTGCTGGATTTAATGAAAGCCGTTTTAAATAGGAACTATAATACTTAGTTATTAAAATTGAACATGCTGTGAATCATCTTTCAAAAAGACCGTCAAACAGCTAACCAATCAAACAAAACCCATTACATACGGGCGAAAGATAGCATCGAGTCCTTCATCCTGACCAGTGAACAATATTAACTCGAGCTTACCTTGATGATTCACTTACTTAGGCTATGGCTATGCATTATGTATTATTCAGTAATCCTCATGAAAGAACTCCTGAAAGGAAGTACTATCACTTATTCCTGTTTTGCTCTAGGAGAAGATGAGCCATGAAGAGGCTAAAATATCATTTCCAGAGTGATAATATGATATAGCACAGCTAAAACCCAGGTCCCTAATAAAACTGTGCAGTAGAACCTTTGCAGTGATGTAAATGTCCTGCATCTGCACCAGCCAGTTTAGTAGTCACTAGGCTCATGGGGTTGAGCATTTATAATATGGTAGTGTAATCGAAGATCTGGATTATTAAAATTTAGTTTCATTTTCATTATACTGAAAGAGCTCCATGAAACTAGTGGCTACTATACTGTACAACCAACTCCTTAAATGCTCTTAATCGATATGCCTTACTTCTCCAATTCAGTCCCTCCATCAAAGCACATAATAGGATAAGAAAGAAATGGAAGTGATAAATTTTTAAGTTATTCAAATCAGAGAATTAAAACTAAGTTGATTAGTGAAGGATGGAGAAGTAGGTCTCATCCCATGAAAATCTTAGAGATTCTTGGTCTCTTTATACTGACCCAAAGGACAGTCACCCAGTCATAAACTTAGTCTAAGATCCATGCCGTTATCTTTCCCTTGTTGAAACATCCTCATTTATATTGTACATCATTTGCCCTTAATACTGATAGTCCTCATTGATGCCTCAGGGAAAGATAATCAAGGATTTCCACTTCTTTGTGGTAACTTTGGCCAACACTCTGAATACCTCCTGATTCTGACTTTTAATGTGCCATTGGCCTTACTGAGCCTCAAATTTCTTGATTTGCAAGAATGGTCATTGAATTAAATTATTTGTTCCTAGATATAAAAATGCTGTAAATAGTTGTTTTAATGCCTATGATCCTATACTTGTATAGTAAATATACTTGTGCAGTAAATTCTTGCATTGTTAAATGTGTGAGTACAAAGCACAAAAATTTAAAAATCAAAAAGCAAAACCACAAAAGATGCTAGACATCCGTGCAGCTTTTGAAGTCTGTTGAATAGCTCTGTTCTTCTTTCATGCTCCTTTTGTGAATGATAGCTTTGCTTTCAGTAGGATACAAAGCAGAAGCTTGCATTTCTTTTGATCCTTCTTTTGGAGCAGAGAGAAGTGGCTGCTACCTAGATAGCTCAGTGCATTAATTGTCACATTGAAATAATACCTTCTTTCAACATGCAGTGACAGCACCTTGAAAGCAAATCAAAAAGTTTGAAGTGATGTTCGAAGCCTAAATTGGCTTTTTTTTGAAAGTGTATGTATTGAAAGAGTTTTGATGCTTTTACTTCTGTGCACATTTGAAAAATAACAAATGATTAAATTCTCCTAGTTTATTTAAACTACTTAAAGCGATTTTATTTACATGTATTCGAAGCAAAATCACTAATGTGTAATTCAGTGTTTCGAACCTGCAAGTACCACCACCTGGTGATTTTTTGAATAAATCCATTTCTTCACTACAGCACACACAAGTAGTCTACAGCCTGTGAGCTTTTTAAAAAAAAACACCTGTGGGGGTTCGTTGGTTGATTTTTCAGTATGATTTTCAGTTTTCACCTCAGTCCTAGTAAAGGAGTCTCAGGGAATGAGGCTCTGCCTGATTCTATAACAGCACCACAACTAGCTGATAGTAATACATTAAGGACAGTATTAGAAATTGTTGTTCTTTTGAAATTTAACAGTGGCAAGAAGCTGCTCTGCAGTCCCAAAGGCACATGGGTTAAGGCCACTAGCTACTCCGAGAAGGATGGACACTCTCCTTCTGTGAGATTAACTGCCTCTCAAAACCTGCCAGAGAGTCAACTATGGGTTAGTTCTGAATCAAAGGTAAATAACAACAACCACCATTTAGTTTTAGGTGAGGGTGAGTCATCACTGTCTAGTTATTACTAAGAATTAATAAGAAAGCTTAAGTAAGGTGACATAAAACCAACAAAGTGCTTTGTTTACCTTGTTTATAAAAGAAACTATGACATGAAAATTATACATCCTACTTTTATCTCATTCTTAGCTCCCTATATTCTATATATATGCTATTCTATTAAATTATTATGTAAGATAATGTTCTTATAATCAATTGTCAGTATTTTGACCATGTAAACATTTATTGACAAATATATATATTCAAATCATTGTTAATTAAACTCACCATTGTTTGGCTTTGCTTATGTTAATTATCTCTTAGATATTAAAATATTATCTAATTCTCACTTAATTGTATAAACAACATACAGTGATATATTACTAAATACATTTTATAATAATCCTAAATATGAAGTTCAACTGGATTTTCTAGGTGACTAAGTCAGTAATGTTTGTTATGTGTTATTGAGTTGGAACTGACTTATAACTGATCTGCCAGTAGGTTATCAGAGGTAGTAAATTGCACAGAAGAAGATTGCCCACTATTCTCCCACAGAGTAGCTGGTGGATTTGAACCACATGCCTTTGGGATTACAGCAAAGTTTACCGTTAAGCCACCACTATGTTGTTGTTATGTGCTTATGACTCATAGTGATCCTGTGTACACAGCTCTGAACCCTGCTCTATCTTAAGCCAATCTCATTTTCTCTGCCACACCTACTCCCATTACACCAGTCACTGAGTCAATCCACCTTATCCAGGGTCTTCCTCTCTTACACTGTCCTCCACCCTTCCAAGCATGATGTCCCTCTCCATGGACTGTTCTCCATGGAATGTGCCCAGAGTATGTCAGATGAAGCTTCACAATCTTTGCCTCCAAGGAACAGCCTGGCTTCACCCTCCAGGAAGAACCTGTTTGTTCTCCTAGAAGTCCATGGAATATTGAATACTTTTCTCCAGGACCACAACTCAAAAGCATAGATTCTTCTTCTGTCATCTTTAGTCGTTGTCCAGCTCTCTGATGCATAGCAAGTAATTGCAAAAACCATGGCCTAGATCAGGTGCCCCTTAGTCTCAACTGACATCATTGTTTTTCAGTACTCTGAAGAGGTCCATGACAGCAGATTTTCCCAAAACATCTTTTGATTTCCTGGTGCTGGTACCAAGAATGTGGATTGTGTAGCCAACCAAGCTGTAGCTGTTAACAATCTCAGTCTCTTCACCATCTGCCATGATACTACCAGTTGAACCAGTGGTGAAAATATTTGTTTTCTTGATATTGCGCTTCAATCCGTATTGAAGGCTATAGTCCTTGACCTTCTGCAGCGTATTCCTCAGTTTTGGCAAGCAAGGATGTGTCATCTGCATAAAAATAAGTTGTTGATGAGTCTTCTTCTACTACTGATTCCTCCTCATAGAGTCCAGACTTCTGAGTGATCTGTTCCTCATACAGATTGAATAGGTCTGGAGATAGGATGCATCTCTGATGCACAACTTTACTGATTTTGAACCATGCCGTTTCCTTGCTCTGTTCTAATGACTACCTCCTGAAGGTTCACTACCACAGTAGTGAACCACAAATCCCTTCTAGATAATAGACATTTTGCCTCAGTTGTCATTATTGACAATTATTCTCCATGGTGTGCATCTCTCTTTTAGTTTACTTATTTGTATGGTGTTGAAAACATGTTACATAGGTAGGGATATTTATTAGTCCCAGACAGCTAAGTCCCAGTCCAATGTGAGTGTTTTTAAGATGATATTCTGTATGAGTCTTTTTGCTTAGGAACTTGCCGTGTGTTTAATTTGGATCTTCTTTCATCAAAATCCTCATTCTTCTCCATTCCCCAGTGCTTAGGGAAAGGCCCTCGGGAGAGTTACTTTAGCCTAGGAGGCTTGTTTTCATCATCAGATCCTACCCATCTGCAGAAGAGGTGCCAAGAGGAAAAAACTCAACAGGGTATTCCAAAGAAATTGTTGAATACATAATCCATTTTTAAGTAAAGAATGATCAGCATATATATTTAAAAAATGATTTAGTTGCCTTCTTGCCTTCAAAGATGACTGTATAATAATCTCTTACACACTTCAGTATAATTTTAGACAATATGACTGTTAACATCCATACAGGTTAATTCTTTTCCACAGAAATGATATTCTGTAGATGTTGTTATTGTTGTTGTTATGTACCATTAAGTTGAAAATGACCTATAGCTAACTCCTGAGGATTTTCATAAGCAATAAATCTCATGGGAGGAGACTGCCTATCCTTCTGTGTTGTACCTGGTGGAAGTCGAACCTTGTGCTTTTGGGATTGCAGTGCAGGTTCTTACTTCTAGGCCACCAAAGTCTCTCTGAGCTCAAGTAAGACAATTAGCAACAGTTAGAGATCACGTTCACTGTGTGTTGAGAAGATATATGTATGACTTGAAACAACTGTGATTTTGAAAGAGAAAATATGGTGAATGATTAAAGATATTAATGACTTCTTTTGTGTTTGTAGACTTTAAAGGGATGTGTAGGAAAGTTCTTTTCATGTGACAATATTATTTTAAAATGTATGTTTTCTTTCTTTTAGGACTTCCAATAGTAGTCAGACATTATCATCCTGCCATACTATGGAGCCATGTTCATCAGATGAATTTTTCCAGGCCCTTAATCATGCTGAGCAAACATTTAAAAAAATGGAAAACTATTTGAGACATAAACAGTTGTGCGATGTAATTCTTGTTGCTGGTGATCGCAGAATTCCAGCTCACAGGTAATTGCTTACTAGATTTCTATTGTGTGAAATTTCCTTGACAATTTAAGTATCTATGTTGGGGTGTCTCTGGCTTCTGGAGGCACGGTAGGTTTGAGGACTCCAAACACAGTGTGGCGGTTTTTTGGGGCCGATGAGGGGGTTGGCAGAGCGGACTAGCCAAATAAATGGGGGTCTTGGGCAGGGAGTTTCCCAGCAATTGGGAGTGCCAGGCTGCTAAAACACTGTAGGGCCCTCGGGTATAGCCCTGGTGTACAAGTTGCCGTACAGTGGTCACTTATGGTTGCTGTGAGGCTGAACACTGTGACACTGATGTGTCAAATGTAAATGTGTTAATTGTTGGTTACCCAATGCAGACAGAGAGTGGGGTGGAGCTCCTCGATGAAAACAAGCTTGGAAGGAGGAGTGGCATCCACTTCCGTAATAGCTTGCCTCCAGAAACCCTGTGAACCTGGAGAGAAGAAGAAAGGCACCCAAGCGTCAAGGACTCCTTCATAGGGTCGCTATGAGTCACCTGCGACTTGATGGCACTTAACGACAATAACAACATGTTCGGCTGATGTATTGAAATTAATTATTATGATTGTCTGCTTTGTTAAGGGGTTTTTCATTGGCTCCACAAAGAAAATGATGCATTTGAATTTCTTTCACGTTAAATGACACCACAAGGTTCATTTTCCCTCTAAAGAAGCACATGAACAAAAAACAGTGGCATCTAAGCAGTCAGTATTGTTTGGCATAAATATTAGCTGTGTATTAAATAACTTTACGTAAACGCAGTATAATTTAGAGTGAGTATTGAAAAGCAAAAGAAGCTGGCAGTATAAAGTGACCAAGAAGCCTGTGCAGTGTAATGCCATCAGATCAACTATGACTCATAGCAACTCTCTGCATGACAGACCAGAACCTTACTCTCCTACGTCATCTATACAATCAATGTCTGTCCTACTCAAGACCAATGTTGGAGTCACTAATTCAGTCCATCTCACTGAGGGCTTTCCTCTCTTTTGCTGACCCTTCTAACTTTTCCCAATATGATGTCTTCTTCCAAGAACTGACATCTCCTGACAACATGGCCAGAGTATGTGAGACATAGTTTTACCACCCTTGTCTTTCATGAGCACAGTGGTTACGTTTCCTATAGGGTTGATTTACTTATCTTGGTAGTTTTGAGAGAGTAATATCTTTGAATTGATGACACCTAACAACATCAACATTGCAATTTCTACTTCTTGACCTCCAGGAAATATGAAAAATGGTGGGAACAAAAAAAAAGTGGTGGGGAACAAAAGACTTTCATATAAATAAAGTATTATTTCTTGAAGTTGTGAAGATGGTGAAACTCTACTTCATGTACTTTGGACATGTTATCAGGAGGAAAGTGTCTGCAACAATGGACTCAAACATATCTGTGATTGTGAGCATAGTGCAAGCCCAGGCAGTGTTTCATTCTGCTATATACCATGTTGCTATTATTTGAAATCAGCTTAACAGTATCTAACAACAAAAACATATGAGTATGCTGGCAAGGAAAAAATCTTCCAGACATATTATCAAATGAGAAGTGCATGCTTCAAAACTATACATATAATATGCAGAATCTATTTTTGTTTATGGACATAGAGATTGTTAATATATACTATCATATTATTATAACAAAATGTAGCTTTATAGTATTATAAGAATTAACATTTTTTAACAAAAACATTATGCTATACTGTAGTAATGCAAAGATAATAATAAATATTAAAATACTAACTTACTAAAATTATTCTCATATTTTTCCTCTAAACTATTTGTGAGTTTAATTTTTAATTAAATTTTTTAATAAATAACTTGAGTCTTTAAAAAAGTAATTACATATGCTAAGTGAACTAGCTCAGTCTCATAAGGACAGATACTGTATAAGACCATTATTACTGAAATAGAAAGATAACTAGTAAAAGATATGTGAGGATCCAAGGAGGGGAGAGAAAGAGCAGGGGGTGAGGAAAGGTAGGGGGGTAATAATAGGGCCACACAATTTGAGGCAGAGGGAGGGGAGGGTAAAGGAAATGGGAAGGATCAGGTGTGAAAAACAATGTATATGAACTTTGTAAATAAAGTAGTATAAAATAAAAATCTTATTTTTTAAAAAATTAATAGCTTAAAAAAGAAACTGAAGTCTATATCCTGTACTGAGAACAGTGCTTACACTCAACAGTTCAATAAATACTTTCTGAGCAGAGAAAAAAGTTATTAAAAACAAAATTGTCTCTATACTTTTTCATATATATATATAAACACACATATATATGTATGTGTGTGCATATATATGTATGTATATATGTGTGTGTGTGTGTGTGTGTGTATATTTTTTAATTTCATTCTAAATATTTGACACGCTTTTCCTGGATGTTGAGTAGTAAATGAGTACATCATTTACCTCAGCAGAAAAATTTCCATAAGGGTAATTTATTATTCAAAGGAAGAAAGTAGAGCGTAAAGCAATTTGTTAAACTTAGCACACTTTCCCCAGTATCATGCACTTTCTGTGAGTAACAAGTCACTTTTTTTTTAAAGGAAATACTTATTAAGGAGTATCAACTTTAATATGATCATTAAGGAGTTTGTGTTCTTTTCTGTCTTCTAATATGTTCTCAGATTGGTGCTCTCCTCTGTCTCAGATTATTTTGCTGCTATGTTTACTAATGATGTCAGAGAGGCAAGACAGGAAGAAATAAAAATGGAAGGTGTAGAACCAAATTCACTGTGGTCCTTGATTCAATATGCATATACAGGTAATAAGTCTGTAAATGAAAATTTAGATTTTGCATTTCTGCTAAGACTATAATTAAAGATTAATTTTTCTGTTCTAAATCACCACTTGTCATGATACTTGTACAGGTTAAAATCTCCATATTAACCCTTTTTCATTAGTTATAATAATGAAACCTTTGAATAATATTTACATACTAATAGAATAATTCATTAATTACATAATGTTTTTATAAATTCCTTCATTCTAGATTTGTAAATTGTAATAGTAGACATAAGTTACTAATTGGCACATTGTTTTTAAAATCCTGAAAATAAGCTATTTTTATCTTGGCAAATATTGTAAAGAGCTAACAATGTTTCTTCATGTTTAGTACTTTTCTTTTTTGAATGTCTGTATCTGCAGCACATATAGTGTGCTTGTATTTCGAAATCATATTTTTAACATCAGTTCTTTTGTATGCTAAAGCCAGTCTAATGCTGTAGCTAATGGAATTTCTTTTTATCATTAAGGCCGCCTTGAATTAAAGGAAGATAACATAGAGTGCCTGTTATCTACAGCTTGCCTTCTTCAGCTTTCTCAGGTTGTGGAAGCATGTTGTAAGTTTTTAATGAAACAGCTTCACCCATCCAACTGTCTTGGAATCCGTTCTTTTGCTGATGCACAAGGGTGTACGGATTTGCATAAAGTGGCTCACAATTATACTATGGTATGTATTTTTGAAAAGCACAAAGGCATATGCTTTTTGCCTCATGCTTTATTTTTGCATTCTTTTTTATATGTTTTATGATGGCTCTGCCACATGCTTTGAAGTTCAAATTCACTGTGCAATGTGTCATATTTTTATTTAGTTCAAAAGAAAAACCCCAGGTAATATTTCTCCTGGATATAAGAGTCAAGCCCTAAATTACTTTATTCTCTTGGAAACAGAGCAGTGGCCTAGAACAGTTCCATTCACGATTTTCAGATCGACTTTGCAAAGCAGGGTTTCTCCAAACATTTCACAGCAAATGTATGAATTTCAGAATTGCCCACAGGTTTGCTTATGGCTGGGAAAGTGATTGTGTGCATTGGTATGGTACTGAAACAGAAGCTAGGAGGATGATAACAAGGGTTTTTTTAATTTTTATTTTTTTATAACAAGGCTTTTAATTAAGGACACAACTGATTATGTGAGTTTATTATGACATGTATTGATTATGTGCAAAGGGATTTTGCAGCCTTATAACATGATGCTCTTAGTAATTTTAACAAAGATGCATTCAAAATAATTCAGGAAGAGGGTTCTAACTCTGCAGAATAAAAGATAGTGGCTGTGGATTGATCCAAGACAACAGTAAAATAAAGACATTTTAAAGGCATATGGTTAGGATTAGTTTCATAGTCTAACAGGAGAGCAGCACAGGCAGGGAGGAAATGTGGAATGTTACCCAACTCACCACTCTGTAACAAGTGGGTTTCTATACTTTGAGCAATGGCTGAAGATTATTACTGTAAATGCTTCTCTTGAGGCAGTACAGCTTAGGAGAGATGAAAGAGTGTGAACATTCACATATAGTTGTTATGTACCGTCAAGTCAGAACTGACCCATAACTGATCCTCCAGCAGGTTTTCAGAGGTAGTAAATCTTTCTCCCACAGAGGAGCTGGTGGACTCAAACCCTGTACCTTTCTCTTGACAACACAATTACTTACCACTAAGCCACCAGAGCTTCCTAAGCATTAACATACATGTATATACTTATTCATTTTTCAACATTTAGAATTATTTTCCCCTCTGCCATCTCCAACTGGGTTGATGGGTCTTTGAAAGGATTGACATATTTTTAGGGATCTTTCACTAAAGAAAACGGAATTTGGGACAATCACAGTAATATGTTTGTGCAAGTGTTAGGGAGATTAGCTTCCTTTATAAGCTTAATGTAAGGATGGAATATTTTAGCAGAAGATAGCTACTTAAAACAGTGGCTGATGTGTATTATAGATGGCAATACATAGTATCCTTGTCATTGTTCTCATCATTATAAATATAATTCAACACTGCAGGGATTTCTGGGAGTGAACAAAAACATTTCCACAAAAGCACAATCCTTATTGTTATTTCTCCCCCTCCTCTGATGGCGTGGTCTGTAGGGAATTGGCATAGTCTGTAGGGAGTTGTGCTACTAACACAAATGCTGTGCCTTTCTGGCAGTTCAAATTCACCAGTGGATCCAAAGGAGAAAGATGGCAATCTCCCTTGCGATTTACAGCCTTGAAAAATCCATTGAAACTATACATTAGTTCCAACTGCACAGCAATGAGTTTTTATATTATTGTTGTTTTTATTTGCTGTCGAGTTGACTATGACTCATAGTGACGCTATGCACAGTAGCTCAAAACTCTGCTCTATCCTGAGCCAATCTCACTGTCTCTGACACACCTACCCTCAGTACCCCAGTTACTGTATCAGTCTGTCTCATCCAGAATCTTTCTCTCCTGAGAAAGCACTGTCCCTCCACCCTTCCTAGCATGATAGCCTTCTCCAAAGACCAGTCCATCCTGGCAGCATGCCCAAAGTATGTGAGATGGAACCTCAAAATCCTTGCCTCCATGGAGCAGCTTTGTTTCACCCGCTCCAAGACTTATCTGTTAGTTCTCTTGACAGTCCATGTTATGTTCACTACTCTTCTTCAGCATCAGAACTCAAAGGCATCAATTCTTCTGTCATCTTTGGTCAGTGTCCAGCTCTCTGATGCATTGCAAGTAATTGTAAAGACCATGGCCTGAATCAGGTGCACTTCAGTCTCTAGATGGACATATTTCCCTTACTCCCTCTGGAGAGGTCCCTGACAACAGATTTTCGTAATGCAGTTTGTCTTTTGTCTTCTTGACTGCTGTTGCCAAGAGTATTGATTGTGGAACCTAGCCAGCTGAAATTGTTAACAGTCTCAATCTCCTCTCCATCTATCATGGTGCTGCCAATTGGCCCAGTGGTGAGAATCTTTGTTTTCTTGATACTGGGCTTCAATCTGTATTGCAGCTACAGTACCTGGCCCTCTGCAACAAATGGTTCTTGTGTCATCTGCATAATGCAAGTTGTTGAGTCTTTGCCAAGTCCTGATGCCACATTCCTTCTCATAAAGCCCAGCCTCTCAAATGATCTGTTCTGCATACAGATTGAAAAGATATGGAGAATGGAAGCATCCCTGATGCTCTCCTGTCTTGATTTCGAACCATGCAGTGTTTCCTTACTCTATTCTGACGACTGCCTCCTGGCCCAAGTATAGGTTTCACATAAGCACAATCAAATGTTCTGGGATTCCCATTCTCCTCAAGGTTGGTAACAATTTGTTGTGATCCACAGTCAAATGCCTTTACAAAGACACATCTTCTAACCCTGACTTGTATTTCTGGCAGTTCTCCGATGATGTACTGTCATTTTTGGATGATCTCAGTAGGATTTTGCTTTCATGCCATGCTAGTGATATCCTTCAATAATTTCCACATTCTGTGAGGTCACTTTTTAAAATAGTATTATTACTTCTCAGGAATGCTTCTTGTTTGTGATTTTTCCATGTCCTCAGGTTGAAAAAACAGAGATTGCACCATAGGACAGTATTTTAAAATGAATCCTTTTGAAAGATTTTTTCCCCTAAGCCTTTAACCTTCTTTGCATATTTTTCATTTTAACTTTACTCTTGCCATTTCAAATACTTTTTTGGAATACAATGACTATAACGAAAGTAAAACTGGATTTGTTTGATTTGGGTTTTGTTTGCTTGGGGGTGTTGTTGTTTTTTGCAACTAGTTCATAATTTAAGTAATACCTACTTTTGACAAAGGAGCTTTATTCACTTAAAAACATTTATATGTATTTAGGTCACTCTTGTTGATAGTCACAATTGCTGCTTAAGGTTTAGACATAAATTAAATTTAAATTAGCCTGATGTTTCTAAAGCTATGAAAATAGCCAATTAGTTGTGGTTTATTTTTTTTCCTCTCAAGGCCATTATTTGACATTATTCAGTTTCAGTAGAGACATGAAATTGAATTCTAATAACAATAAGTAATTTAGAGACAGATTGTCTAGTTTGAATTGTTGCTATGGGAACTGGATGAAAATGTATAGGAAAATTCAATCTTCAATTAAAATAATTCCCCCAGTAATTTCATTTACTTAAAAACTATTCCAAAGGGGGGAAAGGCCCAATGCTTACAAGTGTTTAGTAATATGATAGTTGCTTGTTGAATTTAAAATATAAAGCCTAATGCCATGCCAATAAAATCAATTTTACAGCCAATACTTTGGATATTCACTTACTTTGTATGAGTACAAGTAGAAAGGACTGTGAATTCCTTCAGATCCCAGAGTGTGAAAACTTTTCTTATCATTCTGCTGCTGAACATGACCTGAAATAAATTTTTTATTCTCTTTTTATAAGAAAAAAAGTTCTGAGGCTTGTGATAGATCATTGTTGTTATTGTTAGGTGTCGTCAAGTCAGGTACAACTCATGGAGACCCTCTGAACAAAAGATCTGAACCCTGTTCTATCCTGAGCCGTCCTCATGCTTCCCAACACACAAGAGCCCATTGTTGCAGTCACCTGGTTGAGAGTCTTCCTCTCCTTTACTGACCCTCCACTCTTCCCAGTGTCATTCCCCTCTATGAGAAATAGCCCCTCTTGGCAACATGCTATCTAGTGACATGTTATATCATTGTTATTGTTGTTCGGTACCATTGAGTCAAAACCAACCCATAGCTGACCCTCTGACAGGTTTTCTGAGGCAGTTAATTGTATGGAAAGAGATTACCCATCTTTCTCCCGCAGAACAGCTGGTGGCTTCGAAACCTGCGCCTTCAGGATTGCAGCATAGCTTCTTGCCACTAGGCCACCAGCGTTCAGTTGTTATATCATTAGAACTAATGACTATGGATTTATGAAATAAAATATGAACATTTAATTTCATTTTAATTTGATATCCAGAAATCTTATAAAATGTTAATTCTGCTAAAATAGCCAATCAGAATCCACTGCTGCCTAATAGTTCCAACTCATAGTGATGCTCCATTGGGTTTTTAGAGCTGTCAAGAGGAGCCTCCCTGGCATCCCCCACAGAGCAGGTACTGGATATGAACCAACATAACATACAACCCCCAGTGAACCTTCATTCTGCTAAAACTGCTGCTTCAAAATTAATTTAATACTTAAAAAAAATCTTTTTTTCATTGGTTTACTTACGAAGTTCATATATTTGTGTTTCACACTATTCTTCATTCACATTGTGTTTCATTAAATCATTTTCATGCATTATGTTTTATAAAATAAACCGTTGTACCTTGCCCATCATTATTCTGTCTTTTCACCCAGATCCTTCCCATTTCCTTCCCTCTTTCTACCCACCAAACTCTGAAACCCTGTCGTTTCACCCCTTCCTATTCTTAGCTCCCTCCCCTCTTGAGTTCCCACACATGTTTTAGTAGTTGTGGACTTTCTATGCCCAGCCTTTTGAGGAAGTGCCAAACTGTCTTTTATTTTTACAATAATGGTCTTATGCAGTATTTGTCCTTATGAGACTATGTTAGTTTGCTCAGCATAATGCTCTCCAGCTTCTCCCAAGTTATGTAACATTTTTCTAAATGATTGTTCCTGTGTGCTACATAGTATTCCATTGTATGAATGTACCACAATTTTTCAATCCATTTGATTTTAGTTGGACATTTGGGATG